TGTTTTGACTTGAAGCAATATCTCTTGACTTGGTTATGCCTTGAGAATAGTGAGTACTTTGGTTGTGACGCTTAGGCTCAGTTTTTGACTCTTGTATAAGTACCTTAAATTGTATGATCTTAACTTTGCTTAACTGCTTTGACTAGAGTGTCTTGATGAAACCAATCCTGAGTGAGTTATGTGCCATGTGTGTGTAAGGATTTGTTATATTCTGTGCATTGCATATGATGCCTAGAACTTTCCCTGTGTGTTTGCAAAGCGAAATATTAGTTTTATTCAGTCTAGGAAGTGATATAGGCATTTCTTTGTTGAGCCAGATATATATATTTTACCCGCCTAATTGTTATGTATCGTAGTTAACCCCTTTGAGCCTGTAATCCTGTTTCTTTGGCAACCACATTACAAGTCTTACCCATTTGTTTGAATGGACTATCTATTTGAACCTTTTAACCTCTCATAAGCACTTGAATTGTGATGATTTATGTAAAAGTTAAAGTGTGGGGTGGTTGGTTTGACTTTTGAGTGGAACTAATGAAATCAGGAGAAAGGTGCACTGTTTTGAACAAGTAAGAGCCACTTGAATTGAAATAAAAAAATATATAGTTGTATTGCTGTGGAAAAAAAAGTATTTCTTTAATAAGTGGTGACTCTTGCTGTAATTGTGCTTAAAGAAGTATGGGGTAATATACATTAATGTGAAGGTGGAGTTTGGTTTGACATAAGTATGGGGTTTGAATGTTAAAGTATATGTATTAAAGTGCTTAGGGAGGTGTCGTCACTCTTATATCTAAATATATACTACCCGTCCCGTAGCCTACTTTACAACCAAATAAAGTCCTAATTGATCCTAGATTGAATGAGCTCGATTAGTGGAGTAGTACACTACGGGCAAGCTTATGGTGCATCTTTTGTGGCATATGAATGTTATTTCTGAGATTGAGTGAATTCTTTCTATCTTGAGTTCCTAAGTGTTCTTAAATTTTATTGTGTGGAACTACTCTCTTTTTTTGTGTGAGGGCACTTGATTCATGAAGGAAAGGTAATGTCAGTGACCTCTATGTTAGAGTAAGTGGGTGAGTTGTGAATAATGCGTGGTACTTATGAGTCAAATCTTGAGGTGAAGATGTTATGCTTTTGTGCTTAGTCTATTTTAAATACTCTTGGTGTCATGAGTTAGGAGACTTATTTAAAAAGGTCGTGTCTATAAAAAAGTGTATTTTGATAGCAAGAGTTTAAGTGTGGGGTGTTGATAAATGATGAAAAGTGCATATTTTTGAGTACATTTGCATAATAATTCTTGTGTGTGTCGCGGGAGATTACATAATTTTCAAAGTGAAATATACTCATTATGTGTTTCTTATGTGTAGGAACGAGTTTGGATGATAAATGATCAAAAGATGACAATTCGACACAAAAAGAAGAAATTAAAGGAGTGGGAGCTCGTCTATTCTCGTGCATGGCACGAAGTCGGAAGCGAAAAAGGAGAAAAGTTAAGGCACAAAACAGCGAAGCGAAGCAAAGGCACGGAGCGCTTCGCGAAATGGAAGAATTTCAAAAGCTGGATCCGCGTCAAAGTCCGCGTCTAGACGCGAAGGCAAACGCGGATCCGCATCAAAGTCCGCGTCTAGATGCGAAGGCAGACGCGGATTCCAGCTCTCCCATCCGAAGTTGGATTGAAGAATTCCGCCCCTCATCAACCCTAGGTCATATAAATACATCCTAAAATACCACTTTGAAGGGAGAGACACTACTTTAGGGTTAGACAACACCCTTGGAGGCAAGAACACGCTAGGAGCAAGGAGGAAGATTCAACTACGAGTTTTTCCCCTTCTTCTTCCTATTTTTTCATTGTTGGTTATGATTTTTAGTATTGTAGTTTTACATACTATTATGAATAGCTAATTCGTTTTTTAGGGTTTTGATGTAACCTTTTGGGGATGAATTGGTTGTTATATTAATATAGTTTTGAGTTAGTTGTTAATCTCTATTTGTTCAACTACGTTTTGATTTTGGTTAAATGAAAGGATCCTCAATTAGCCGTTCCTATTTATTATGTATCTGCTTGAGAGAGAGTGCATATTTAGGTAGTTGTTTGAACAACATCACTCCCGGAGTATAGGCGAGAGTCATAGCCGAGGGTTTAGAGGTTGGATTAGAGATAACGATACCTCGGGTGCGATCTAAATGAACTGTAATGTGAATCTAACTAGGGTAGCTTGAGAGAGTGCGTCTAGTAAATTATCATAATTGCTTGAGAGAGATTTATGATAGCTGGAGAGTTCATGATTGATAGAGGCAACTAAGTCAAAGCTATAAGAAACATACAATTAATGAAATCAACAATTGGGGAAATCATAACTCTAGACCTCCTTAATTTAGTCTCCAAACCTTTGTCTCGTTAGTTGATAATTTTACCGTTTTATAGTATTTGTTGGTTAATTAGTTAGATATAAAAATCTTAATATTATAATTTAGAAATTGTTCAAACTTGTCTTCTTTGCGATATTGAACAATTATAGCGAAACCTTAGTTCTCTGTGGGATTCGACTCCGGGCTTTTAGACAGGATTATATTTGCAGCGACCGCTTATCCCTTTTAGGACTAGAGTTGGGCGTGATCAAGCCACCCCTGGTTGGAATACCAAAATGAAACATATGAAATAGAATTGGAGGGCTAAATGGAACAAGGTTGAGATAGAGTCCAAAATAAAAAATGGAACCAATTTGAATGGGTTGTATATATATTTGGCCTTTAAAAATAATTTCTAATAGTAGCCTAGACATGGTGCCAGAAGACAAATGAGCAAAAATCTGCACTTTGGTTTTGTGAATATTTGGTTTTGTGAATAAGCAAAGAAAATGTACCTTTGCCAACTATGACTTGGGACAAAAGCACATTGACAAACCTCGCTGTAATAGTCTGTGCCTTCATCTCTTTTTATTCTTCTATTGATTTCTCTCTTTTACCCTCAGATCTAAAATTTTACCCATTAAGGGTGTGTTTGGTAGGAAAAAAATATTTTCTTAGAAAAAAGTGATTTTCTTACTTATTTTTCGATGTTTGGTGAGATAGCAATTTTTTTTTAATATATATATATANATATATATATATATATATATATATATATATATATATATATATATATATATATATATATATATATATATATATATATATATATATATAAAATTTACCCAAACACTATATGAGACAATGGGTAAGGGCCAGGAAGGTGGTAGGTTGGGGTCTAGGCTCCGAAGTCGTGGTGGCAATGTTAGGGGAGAGGTGGCGGGTGTGGGCGCCGCGCGGGGGAAGGGTGGAGGGGTGGGGGTGAAAGTGGGGAAGGTTGAGAAAGACTTTTGAAAAATATTTTTTCTCCTTTTGGTAGTCATTTTCCTCCAATTAGAGTAAAATAAATTCATGAAAAAAATATTTAAACCAGCCAAACCTGAAAAAAAGAGAAAAATACTTTTCACAGCAAATGTTGTAATCGAGATTGGTATAAGAGATTGTTTAATTAGAAAATCACTTTATTATATAAATAAGTTCAATATAATATTATTATTGTTTGGACATTGGAGGTGGGAGATCTAGTCGCCGAACTTAAACATGATCTGTTCGACATATTATTTGGTTTATGATTTCTTTTGGATCCTTTTTTGCCTACAAATTTATTATTATGGCAGGAAAAGCAAGAACATTAAGTTGCAAAACAAAATCCTAATTAAGGAACCTAATTGCTCATAGAATCAAAACACATGAAAGATCACTAGAAAATGGGACCTACACCAACAATCAAGAACACTAATCCACATGTAATCACATGATAAATCAAAAAGGCACGCCATTACTCTTTCTCCATTATCATTTATCAAACACTTTTCCACAAGAAAAGGGGAAAAAACGCCTTCTAATTAGTAACTTTAATGTTGTAAGAAAAGGTAAGTACCCACATCAACCAATCTTTCCCTCTCTCACAAACTTGAGTTCAAATTAAAGAATCAAAATCCAACTCAATTCCATAAACTTTCAAGTCAAAGTGACACTTAAAAACACCCCCAAAAAAACAAAAAGTGCAAACAAAAACCTAAAACAACCCTTGAAACAAATTCATTTAAAATTTTAGCTTATAGGGGCATGACATAGCAATCGATAAAGTGAGATAAAAATTACATGGGATTAAGGTTCAAATCCAAGTAAGGCAAAATTGTCACTATCTCCGCTCCAAAATAAGTGATTTTTAATTATTTTCACACATATTAAGAAATCCACCTTTTTAGCATTAATTAGCAATGAAATTGATCTTATTAACCTTTACTCTCTCTTCACATAAACACTCCTAATACATACTCCAACACTACTTACTCCAAGGGCAATGTAGGAAAAAAAATTAAATCATTCTTGAAATCTGAAAAAATCACTTATTTTGGACCACAAAAAAAGGCCAAAAAATCACTTATTTTGGACCGGAGGGAGAAAATAATTTTCTATACGCATATGCTTAAGAATGAAATTATATCATAATGTTAGTAAAGATAGCAAATATTCGGTAAAATAGTACTCCTTCTGTTCAAATTATGTGAACCTGTTTGACTGGCCACAGAATTTAAGAAAAAATGGTCAGAAAGGAGTCCATAGTATTTGTGTGGTTATAAGAACTTCTTATTAAGGATAGAATTGGAAGTTTAAGTTAACTTGTTTCCAAATTTAGAAAGGGGTCATTAACAAACCAAAAATAAAATTGGTTCACATAAATTGGAACAGAGGGAGCAGAGAAATGCATCATAAGTTGGTATTGGTTATTTCAAATTTATAAGGCTATATTTGTCAACTAAAATTACCCACGAGAAATAACAGCCAACTGTACAGGTTGTTACTTAAAGAGAGAAAATAAAATACAGAAAAAAAAAACCCAAAAACAACACTTCTTAAAAAAAAAAAAAAAAAAAAAAATCTTCAGAAAAAAGTATCCCTTATATATTTCAACATCTAAACAACACATTACACATCCCTTTTCTCTCCCCTTTTTCCTTTCTTTCTTTGTACCAATACAACAATGGCAGAGCTAGAAATCACTCAAAATCAAAGCCTGATGCCAAAACTCATCGATTACTTATCTTCTCTGCTCCAAAAGGTGGCTGAAGCTAACGATATTAATGGCAGATTTCAACCCCAAAAGATCTCAGTTTTTCATGGACTTACAAGGCCAAATATCTCAATTCAGAATTATTTAGAGAGGATTTTCAAGTATGCAAATTGTAGCCCTTCTTGTTTCGTTGTTGCTTATGTTTATCTTGATCGGTTTACTCAGTGCCAGCCTTCTTTGCCCATCAATTCCTTCAATATTCATCGTCTCCTTATTACCAGTGTCATGATTGCTGCTAAATTCATGGATGATATGTAAGTTACTCAAAATTCTCTTAATTAACTCCCAATTCTCTTAATTTTTCTTTTAAACATTGTTCTATTGTTAAAGATAATTCGGCTTTAATTCATTTATTATCAGTTTTTTTTTTTGGGTACAAAATCATGATCTTCTTCTCTATTGAACTGATACAGACTTAAATAGAACAATATTGACAGTGCGAACTCATCTAGCCGACTACAATTGTCTGGAATTGAGGCTTAGTTATTGTAGTAACCAAAAAGATACGCAAAATTATTTTTTAAAAATTCTCTACTTGAAAGGGTTATTGAGTTATGGATTTTCTTGGGTTTTGATTTTGTAGAGTAATTTTCTTAATTTCGAAAAAAAATGTGGATAAACAAAGAATTCCATGGTTTTAGATTTTCTTAGCCATTGATATCTCGAAAAGGTAAAAAAAAAAAAATTAAAAAAATTAAAAAAAAGAGGCTATATAATTGGAGGTCCTAGTTGTATAACACACTAGACATTGAACATGCACAGGGAGCTCGGGCTAGTAATTTATTTAACATCAGAAATAAAGCTTCTTATTTAATGACTAATTACTAGTAATATTCTTATTAAGTAGCACTTAGCAAGGACTTAATGATTGGTTAAGAAATCAATAAATTGAAACAGTGACAACTTGCTTCCTCCTTTATTTTTGAATTTTAAAAGCAATCCCACATTTAAAGACAACCACCCAATTCTTTAGTTGCATGGTCAAGATTACACATTCTCATTTGAAAGCTACACTCAAATATTAGTGACTCGATCTTCATCTCTTCTCACAACTTTAATTGATTAACACACTTGATATTTTGTTTAAAAACTGTAAAGTATAAGCTGATTTTTGTATATTTGATTATTTTATAGGTACTACAATAATGCATATTATGCAAAAGTTGGAGGAATAAGCACCACAGAGATGAACTTTCTAGAAGTGGATTTCCTATTTGGATTGGGTTTTCGCTTAAATGTGACACCCACTACTTTCCAAACCTATTGTTCATATCTTCAAAAAGAGATGCTTCTGCTTCAGCCACCACTCAATTTAGATGATTCTTCCTTATATATGGGAAGATCACCAAAACTCCAATACATTTGTTTCAATGAAGATGATTCCTCTTCCCAACAACAACAACAATTAGTTGTTTAAATTCGATTAGTCTTATTGATGTAGTTATCAAGTTAGGTTTAGGGTCCGTTTTTAAACCAAAAATTGTACTAAAAAAAAAGAGCTGTGTGGTTGTTGTATTTTGCATTTTTTTTCTTTCTAATTTTCCATTTTGGGGGTGATTTAGAACTCAAAAATGAATTGATATGTACATATGGGTGCTTTTACTTTACAGTCTGGCCAAAAAGTTTATTTCTTTATTGTTTTCTGTTCTTTTACTTTTTTTTTTTTCTTCTAATTAGATACTCCACTTGTTATTATCCAAGTCAAGATTCCAATGATCTGTATGATGAGGACACTATGATCAAAACACAGGTTGGCATGTAACATGTTCATGTAGCAAGTTGCACTGTTTTTAAATGTGAAGTGCTCAAGACATAGGCCACTCTAACAAATGCATGTAATAGTCATCTCTATAGGGATAGTCTGGTGGTCACGAGACTACGATTTAAAGGGAGACACCTTCAATCAAGTGGTATAATTTGGTCCTATTTTGCCAATTTTTTTACTTAAATAGATACTTAAACTTTAACTTGTTTTTTCTATAAAAATGATATTAATATATGATTTGAATAACAACAATCGAAAAATAACATAAAGTAATGAAGCATCACTTTGTTATAGGAGTAAAGTCACAGAACTGTACAGTCCAGCTCAATTTTGTATACAAATTGTATTGTGACAATAGACTAATGCCACTAGCACCGGCGTAGCCACACTATCTCAATGGTGGTCAAGCGAACACCCATCGCAAAAAAAATTATATATGTTGCATATATAGTGTAAATACTATTTTATATGGGTATATATTATTTGAACACCCTTAAAATTTGAATACTATTGTGTATTAAAGTTTGAACACCTCTGGTCAAATTTTTGGCTACCCCACTACACACTGGCATAATTATGTATATATAGTGAATTTGGCCGACTATTTATGTAACAATCCTAATAAGTTTTGTTCATTGTAAAGAAATGTTGAAGCAGTCAAAATGTTCTTGAGGATGTCAGTAGATTCAAATCGTATAACTAGTACTATGTGCTAAGGCATCGAATACCCCCAAAGTCATGTGCATAACTAGTGAAAAATATCAATGACTGAAATCGAAACGTGTTCAATTCTTAGTGCTTACCCAAAATACAGGGAAAAACAAAGCATAAATGTAAAAGAGATACTAGTAGTTTATGATGAGACACCAATGAGGAAAGGGACATGAAAAAGGAGGAAGAAGAAGTATGTGGGGGGGACATTGGCAAATACATCAAAAGAGGGTTACTACAAAGTGATAAAGTGGAAATGTTAGGGTCATTTCTGGCAGTAAAGACAAGTTACGACACTTAACAGTTGTATTTTGATTCTGGGCAGGGAACATACTACATGTGCAATTAATCATGCAATTGAACAAATGCTTCTGCATGTGACCACTTGAGACCTGAGACAGACACATTTTCTCCCAAAATATTTTCTTCTGTTTTTTTTCTTTCTTCCAAAAGAATTTCAATATGTCCTTTTCATCTCTCTGGTTAACATAAAGGGGAAAAAAGGGAAGCTAAAATTCAAATCAACAACAACAATAATACCCAATATGATTTCATAAGTGGCGTTTGAGGAGGGTGGAATATACGTGGACCTTACCCTTGCATTGTGTGAGGCAGAGAGACTATTCCTAATAAACTCTCGGCTCCATATTATCTTTGGTTGTCTATGTGCGGCCAAAAATACTCGAATTTGATCAAATTTAACTGGTCAACTACCCTTTTCCGTCTTGTCAAACAAAAGTTTATATTTTTCTCTTTTGAGTAATAGGATCTGATGTTCAAAATTAATGCCATTAATTAACCACACTTAGTTGCACAATTTTGTAGACGATCGAAAAGATGTAGATTTAAAACGTTTAGAATGATCCGAAACACACACACACAAATACACAGTTGATTAGCTACATGAACATATATATCTACAGTTGTACACCACAAACACACATATCTGACGACTGACATATTAGCATGTGTACATGTGTGTGTGTATATATATACACAACCGTAGATATGTCCATGTTAACAATATCTGAACCTATTCGCTATACTACAAATTAAAAGGGCTGTCAAGTCCCACTTAAATATGTAAATTTCAAGGGTCTGGATTGCATATAAAGTTGTTACCCTGAATAATTAAGTTATATTATAAATCGTTTGTGTAACTTCAAAACACGAACCATACATCATGTATGAGTCTGATTATTTTGGGGGGTAGGGGACGAACCACGTAAATTCATTTTGATTAACTACCTAGTTAACCAAATGAATATTTCCAACAACTTAATTTAGCAGCTCCTTCACAATATGACTATTTCCATTAGCTGATGCAATATGAAGTGGGCTTAGACCATCTTGGTTCTGTTCTCCGGCAAATTCTCTCTTATGTTTAATAATCTCTCTTGCAAAATCATTATGTCCTACAATACAAGCAATCGGGGGCGGCTCTAAAGGCTTGGGCCGTGAGGCGGTGCTCCCAAAATTTCAAGGTCCCAAATTTATTTTAAATTCTTATTATTATATAAATTATATAAATAATTAGTATAAAGAAAAGTGTTACAATATATTTTTTGTTATTTGATTGAGGTTATTTTATATCAATAAGTTCATAAATTATGATAAATTTCTTCACAGATTAATTATTATTTGCTTCAGTCTTCAATTTTAATTTTATCCTTTTTATATAGGAATTAAGTTATATATATCGACAACATAATGAATTACTTTTACAATGTTCTCTCAAGCAGGGGTGGAAGCACCTTTAACTTAGCGGTGTCAGGCTACACCACTTCGTTGAATTTTTTTAGGAAGTATATGTATTAATACCGTAAAGAAACGAATAACTAGAAAAAAATAACACCACTTGACAAAGATTATCTCTTGGTGTGTTGGTTAATTGTTTGATTTTGCTTTAAGAAGTTAAAGGTTCAAACCTCAACAAACATATTTTTTTTTTGTAAATATTTGAATAAGCCTTTGTGGTTAAAAATTGCGCTGAAGCAAATTGAACTTGGACCTTTTTTTAACCTAAACTCAATAAAAATCAATAGAGTAAGGCTATTTCTTATTTAGAAAAATGATAATTAAAGTTATTATGCCCGTTCTTTTATAAATTTCGACACCATTTATAAATTCATGTGTACGCCTCTGCTCTCAAGCTGCATGAACACAAAAGCATTCATGCACCGGTTTTCTTTTAGTGTAATTCGACATATTATATTAGGTTATTTATAATTTATTGTAGATATTCACCAATAAGTGCTACTTAATAGAATGAACTACAATTATCGTTTAAATTGATTATAAAGAGTAAATATTTTTGACACCGTTAATGCTCAAAACTTAAGCTATTACGTTATGTACGTTTATTTCTTTTTCTTGTTTGTGATTATAGCCAAATCAAAATTTGTGGACCTTAACATCCGAGAGTCCACCACTTTATTTTTTGTGCTCTTCTTCCTTCTTCTTTTTTTTTTTTTTTTTTTGAAATTCGCTTATTTTTGTTTTAAATGATTAATTTATTGTTTAGAAAGTAAATTTTGTGGTTAGTGTAAATATTTTATACAATAAATTTAAGGGCCTCTCAATATGATTTCGCTTTAGATCACGAGATCTATGCAAGCAATGTGCAGAGGATTTTCTGTTGCAACTTCAAATAACCTTTGGTCCATTATTTTGAAGCATCCATTAATAAAAATACTTGTGCAAAAAGTTTTAGCTTTCTTTTGAGCTTATATATATAAAAAATTATCTGTAGTTCTGCTAAAATGATCTGTTAATTTGCTTAATGGATTAATTAATTCTGGTCAATTTGACTCGTTTTTGTTAGGAGATTTCTTCTTGAATTAATAATTGGCAATCTCAGATTCGTTGACTAGTAAGATAAATTGTTAATTATCAATGAGTCGCTCTCTTTTGATATTTGAGTTCAACATTTCAAGCAATCTGGTTCAAAGTTCAGTTTTACTGAATAGATTTTCTGTTACTCGATGAGGACTTAGGGTGTGTTTGGTATGAGGGCTTAAATGTTTTGGAAAACATTTTCTGTTATACCAAACACACACCCTTAGACATTCGGAGATTTCTGTATTTCTTAATGGTATATATGTTCAGATTTATAAGCAATTCAAAGTCAATGAAAATGTAAACAATTGCTCTGCTAAAGTCATCTGATTCTTTGCTATTAATTCAGGTCACTTTGACTTTAACTTTTCAGAGCTTTCTTCTTGAATTAAGAATTGCCAATGTCCAACAGATAATGCCACATCATATCCTACATTTTTGCCACTGGATGCACACAGGGAGAGGAAAATTTGACTTGCTCTTTTTCTTGTTCATATTGTGATTATGAATTTTAAAGATTATGTTTAACTAACTAGTATGACTAATACAAGTTAAATGCATAAATAAACCTGAGGATTACGCTGAATTGTCAGGAATCGTGTATTAATGGAATTTGATAACCTGCTACATCCCCAGGTGAAATTGATTATAGAATCGTGGATAAATATATTATAATGCACTTCTAAGGTTTCATCCTTTACACATTTGAATTACTAAGATAACAAAACTAGATTGAATATGTATTACCACAGTCTTGGGTGTCCACGCCAGCTTGCGCCTGCATACGTTGAGTAACTTTGTCCACACAGACTTAAGAAGATCGGAAGAAATCACCCAGCCTTTTTGTGTCTGTTGAGGTTTTTGCTCTCCCATGGTTTCAGATGTGTCAATTGGGCAAATATGTCCATAGCGACTAGGATGGATATCTCGTATCCGAAAACTAGCAGTGCGCCCTGTCAGTCCTCTATAACTTAATTTTCTCCCATGAACTATTTGTGTCAATGGATTAGTTCGATCCAAAACTTGAGATAATGGGTGTAAACCGAAAAAGGATTCATAAGTAGTTGTTAATGGAGTTGAGGTTACCAAATTCTGAGGTGTCGGTATCAATTTATGCCGAATTGCTCCACATATAGTCCCCCAAACCACATTTTCTGAACGAACCAGAGCTAACCCGAATTGATCTTGTAAACGATCTGCTACAGAACGACTTGGATGCATCTTTGAGCAATTATTGCGCTATGTGTTTAGCTAAGTCAAATTGAATCAGTATGAAACGTACCCATGAGTTCATTTTCCATTATCATCAATTAACCAGGGTAATTGGAAGAGAAATATCTGAAGGCAATCAAGTAAAAGAGATTGTAATTGAGTTCAAAAACAAGGTTTTTTTTTAGAATTTCAATACATCCTGGTTGATCAAAAAAAATAAAAAATACAGGAAGATGTTGTTCAAGTACCTGAACAATTCCTACGTCTTGATAAGAATCTAGGTTTCTTCCAATAGTTTCTCACTAACATTGTAATGTAAGGCAATAAAATTGGAAAGACTGAAGAGAAGATAGAAAAGAAGATAGAAATTCCTCGGATAGGCGTTATTGCAGACATCACAGTATCATAGGTTGCTATCAAGGCAACAAGTGAGACTTGCAGTTCCAATTGCAAAGGAAATCCTACGGTGAGGAAATTTATCATGTGAAGAGACACGAAAAATCCGATGGAGTTGAAAACCAAGAACAAGCCATAGGTAATTGGATTGATGGTTCCCATCACTGACTGACCTGTGATACGTGGTGAGGGCACTTTTCCATCATTTCTGGTGCTGTTATTAGCGTCGGGCCAGTAAGTGTCCTGCCAAACACCTCCTGGTGGACTTAACACTGCTTGATAAGTTGCTGTTGCAATTAAAATAGCTATTACAAGAAGGGTGTCTCTTACTTTTCCTGGAGAATCTTTGGTTTTGTTGTGCTTGAAGTAATCTTGAAGCTTCTTAGAACGAGATTGAGGCTGATCTCTCCTGTGCTCTCTGCTGGATTGTACATTTGATGGATCTTGAACTGCAACCCAAGATTGGGGCGAAGCTTCTTGCTGTGAAGTTTGCATGTTTTCAACAGATACAGCACCACATGCTCTTAGAATTTCCTCAATATCTCTATCTCCAGATTCCTTAAGTAGTACATCCAAAGGTGTAAGGCCTCCCTTGTTCAAAGAATTCACCTCAATTGTGCCTTTAGGAACAACATTTTCGTCGAGCAATAGATCAACAACCTGGATGGTTCATTTTTCTTATCTGTTAGTAAATTGAAAGATAAAAATCAAGATGAAGAGATAAAAGAAGCATAAATAATACTATATACTTGCCTCGTATTGCTTAGTTGACACAGCAAGATGCAAGACAGTGTTTCCTAGGATGTCCTTCTTGTTTAAAAGATCATACTTGTTAGATTCATTGAGGTTCTCAAGTAATAATTTGAATGATTCAAACTGATGATTCTTGACAGCTAAATGCAGACAAGTATCGCCATGAGCAGTCACTTCTGCTGCAGAGTCTGGAAAAGCCACAAGAAGCTCCCTCATAACATGTTTTCTGCCTTTGATTACTGCATAGTGAAGGGGAATTCTTCTGTCTTTCCCCTTGATAAGGCATAGATTACGGTCCAAGTGCAAAAGCTGCTTCACAATCTCTATGTCTCCATTTGCTGAGGCGATATGCAAAGGGCTTAAACCACCCTGGTTTAGTTCTCTTGAAAATTCTGGCCTCAAATGAATGATCTCCTTTGCAAACTCAAGATGGCCACCTAAGCAAGCGATATGCAGACGAGTTTCGTTACATGCTGATGAAACTGCCTGGAAAAGAAGAGGGTCTTCTTTGATCAAGCTTTGCAAAGGATGAATATCTCCTTTTTTAGCAGCCTCCCACAGCCTTCTGTCCATTGATTTTACCAAAGAATAATGTTAACTACTTGGTTGTTTCTCCTTTGAATTCTAAAATCAGTCAGCTTTTGTTTCTCTCCACTCTGAAGGTCATGAAATTCAACTCTTTTTGGCAGGCAAAATATCATTTTTTTTAATCAAGAGTTGAATTTCATGACCTTCAAACTGAACTTCAACTGTCAAAGGAATAAAATATACCTTAAGTGCCCTTGTTTTGTCTTTCTAACTTTGTAGTTTGTACATTAAAAAAACCATCAACCAAAATAAGTGTCGTTGGCGCAAAAAAAGGTATTCAACAACAATATAGAAACTTCGGGTTGTCTCCTTTTTTACTTTCCTATTTTGACGTCCTCCCTTTGTGCAAATTTGCATCAGTGTTCATAAACAGGTAAATTATTCTACGCCGAAGCTTGAGTCACAGCTACTTAAGTGCCACAATAAGAGGATTCTAGTATTCGGTTGTCATAGGGAAAAAGAAGCAATAAACAGAAACTTCTCCTCTTTTTTTCTTTTCTGTTTTTCCTTTTTTCTGGGTTTCTACCACCTTGTGAAAATGATGCAGATGATCGATTTCTTGTTGGCATTGATAAATACATAAGACGTATTAACATGAGAGGTTCAAAGAGCAGAACTGGAAAGTCAGCGCAACTTGTGCAAAGTCGAGATGGTAATAAACTTCTGCCATATAGGCCGCCAACGTAGTTAAGGAGCTGTCAATCAATAGAAATGACAATGAACAAGAGAGCTCTCACGCCGCGTCTTGGAAAGGCGACGTAACGAAAGAAATCGAGGTGTCCACAGTGGCTTTCTGTCAACCGAATGCCGGCTCAATAAGCTAGGCTAGATTGCAAGTGCCGTACAGAACAGTATATACAAGAGAAATTGAATGACAGCCTGCTTGTATTACAAGAAAGCCGGCATGGTGCTGGGAAGGGAAGACACCAATACAGCGATTTGAATGTTTGCCAGAAACTTCGACTGCTAAATTAACCCCACTGATATACTCACTTTATTGCAATTTTTACTTTCCTTTTTAGTCTGTTTTAAAGAGAATGTCACTTTCTATATCTAGTAACTCTTAACTCCAATATTCCACATGACATATTTAAGACCACAAGATTAAGGGCATTTTGATATATTATACACATCTTTAGTTTCAGACCGCAAGATTCAAAAGTCTTCATTACTTTTATTTCAAACTAAGACACATAAAATGAAACGGAAGGAGTATGTCTTAAAAAGATAAATGCAAGTTACAGGACATAACGTAGAAAAGATGTAAAAACACAACAGAAAAAACACAAAGTTGATGTAAAAATGTAATATAGCCATTTTAAGACAGCTTACAGGCAAATTCAGAGACTTACATTATTTTGATGAACGAGTATGCATGTCCTAATGAATTCCTTCTTCATTATCATCAATTAACAAGGATGATTGGAAGAATAAAATATTAAAGCAATTACATAAAAGAGATTGTTAATGAATCTCATTATCAAGTTTCATTTTAGAATTTGAATACATCCTGATTGAACTTCAAAAGAAGAACAAAATACAAGAAGATGTTGTTCAACTAACTGAACAGTTCATAAATCTTGATAAGAATCTAGGTTTCTTGCAATAGTTTCTCAGCAACATTGAAATGTAAGGCAACAAAACTGGAAAGACTGAAGAAAAGATAATAAAGAAGAGAGCAATTCCCGGGTTAGGTGTTATGGCAGACATCACAATACCATAGGTTGCTGTCAAGGCAACAAGTGAGACTTGCAGTTCCAATTGCAACGGAAATCCTATTGTGAGGAAATTTATCGTGTGAAGGGACACATAAAATCCGATGGAGTTGAAAACCAAGACCAAGCCGTAGGAAATTGGATTGTTGGTTCCCATCACTGACTGTCCGGCGACATGTGGCACGGACATTTTGTCATCACTACTGGTGTTGTTATTTCCTGCAGGCCGGTAACTGTCCTGCCAAACACCTCCTGGTGGACTAAGCACTGCTTGATAACTTGCTGTTGCAATTAGAATCGCTATCACAAGAAGAGTGTCTCTTGCTTTTCCTGGAGAATCTTTGGTTTTATTGTACTTGAAGTAATCCTGAAGTTTCTTAGAACGAGATCGAGGCTGGTCTCTCCTATGCTCTCTGCTGGATTGTTCATTTGATGAATCTTGAACTGAAACAACCCAAGATTGGGGGGAAGCTTCTTGCTGTGAAGATTGCAAGTTTTCAACAGATACAGCACCAGATGCTCTTAGAATTTCCTCAATATCTCTGTCTCCAGATTCCTTAAGTAGTACATCCAAAGGTGTAAGGCCTCTCTTGTTCAAAGAATTCACCTCAATTGTGCCTCTAGGAACAACATTTGCGTCCAGCAGTAGATCAACAACCTGGATGGTTCATTTCTCTCATCTATCAAGTTGAACGTTAAAAATCACAATGAAGAGATAAAAGAGACGTAATGGCACATGAGAGATACTTGCCTCGTATTGCTTAGTTGACACAGCAAGATGCAAAAGAGTATTTCCTTGGATATCCTCCTTGTTTAAAAGATCATACTTGTCAAATTCCTTGAGGTAGTCAAGTAATAATTTGAACGCATCAAACTGATGATTCTTGACTGCTAAATGAAGACAAGTCTCGCCTCGAGCAGTTACTTCTGCTACAGAGTCTGGAAAAGCCACAAGAAGCTCCCTCATAACATGTTTTCTGCCTTTGATTACTGCATAGTGAAGGGGAATTTTTCTTTCCTTCCCCTTGAGAAGGCAAAGATTACGGTCAACGTTCAAGAGCTGCTTCACAATCTCTATATCCCCATTTGCTGAGGCAATATGCAAAGGGCTGAAACCATCCTGGTTTACTTCTCTTGCAAATTCTGGCCTGAGATGAACGATCGCCTTCACAAACTCAAGATGGCCACCCAAGCAAGCAATATGAAGAGGAGTTTCAGTACCTGCTAATGAAACTGCCCTGAGAAGAAGAGGGTCTTCTTTGATCAAGCTTTGCAAGTGATGAACATCTCCTTTTTGAGCAGTCTCCCACAGCATTCTGTCCATTACTTCTACCAAAAAATAATGTTAATTCCTTGAATTCTAAAATCAATCTGCAGACTTTAGTTTCCTTCATTAGTTGGTGCTTAGAACTAAGGAATATCTCAGCTCTGAGGATGTAAAACTTCAACTTTTTTTGGACAGGAAAAAAAAGAGTTGACTTTCATAATCCTAGAGCTGAATTTCAACTGTGAAAGGAATATCATATTTATTTATTTCCCTTTCCTGTTTCAAACTTTTTAGAATAAAGTAAGTGTCATTGACGCAAAAATGCGATCAACAATATAGAAAATTCTGGTCGCCTCCTTTTTTCCTTTCTATATTGTTTAGTCTCCCTTTAGTTCAAAGTTCAAACATTCAGCCTCTCCACAAACAGGTACATTTTCAAATTCAAATAATAAAAAGCTACCAAACCAGTTGAGTCTGCTATATGCCTTAATATGAGAATATTAGTACTCGCTAATTATAGGGGGGAAATTAATCTTTTGTTTCTTTCTGCTTTTTCCCTTTTATCAGGACTTCTGCTAGCCTGAGAAAGCAAAGGCAGATGCAGCTTAAATAAATTAGGTTCAACTGAATCATTCTCAATGTGGTGTACAGATATTAATGTGAAAGTTATTAAAATGTCAAAATTGTACATTTTGTATCCTTAATTTTAAAGTGCAAATGTTTCAAATAAGAACTTAAAAAATTGTACTCATAAAGTTTAAACCACGGGTCCGCCCCAGCATTAGAGAACAGATAATTGATATTGGCATTGATAAATTATTCATGGTGCAGCAACAAAGGAGGTTCAAAGAACAGAAGTCGATAGTCGTGTGAAGTTTGAGATGGTAATATCTTCTTCTGCCAATGGATACAGGGAAAACAACACTGTATAATAGCCGAAAAATGTATATTTTTGTATATATATACATTATGTATGTTATATATAAATTTATACACTTTTTCGTCTACCGAATGCAAATAATTTCTTGTGCAAGTGATAATTCCCCACGGATATAAGGAGCTGTAAAACAATAAAGATGACAATGAGAGCACACAATGTTCAGTAGCCAAAAGTTCAATATGGATCTGCATTATTTAAGAGAGAGAGAGAGAGAGAGGAAGATACGGTCTTTTCATCTGCAGAATTGAACCTGAAGTATCTTCGTCAATACTGCATATTGTACCTGTCATGAGGTAAAGGGAGAGGATGTCCAAACCTTACCATCAAAAAGAGAGTTGTTGAAGATTGTAACATGTCAAAAAGACTAGTTTGATAATCTTAATATGTCTAGATATTCGGGCTATTAGCTTGCTGATAGGCATTTCAACAGCTGCATATTTTTCAGCTAAGTTACCTTAATGGTGAGTCGTGGCAGAGTTAGAGCTAAGGAAAAAAACTTTATTCTAGCTTATTTTTGGCAATGTTGGTTGTAATAGGCATTTTCTTTACCACATACTTTCTAGTTCAATAGGTCAAATGTCGAACAAAGAAGCCAGAGGGCAAACAAACTTTCTGGAATTTGTCACTTCCATGGGCGGACAAAAGGGATTACACGTACATAGAAAGAAAGTTACTTCATCCTTCGGAAGCACCCATATTATCGACAGTGATTGTAACATCGATGCTGGATTTGAAGATGTATGCTTCTCTTATCCAGAAGCAGATGATGATGCATGGTTCATGCGGTAAAGAAAATGAAAAGTTAAATCTTTCTTCCCGCTTCTGCTTCTATAAACCATACATAGAGTCACCAAAACAAATTAACCTTACTTTAAAGAGAGCCAGTTCAACTCATAGTTCCGAAGTTCTTCACCAAATTCCAGTTCCTGTATAATTCTACAGAGTAGTCTGTCTCCAAAGCATAGTTATGCTCCAAATCTTGCTTGCCTGGGCAATATACTCTTCATTCAGGAGTCGTATGACACGTTGAACACTTACAACCAGTTGGTATCCACTCAAGCAGAACCAACCGGCCAATCATGACCATACCAACTCCAAGATTCTCTTCTCAAAGGCAAGTAATAAATAAAGGACAGCAAGACAGAATAAAGGTATTTACAATGGGTCGTTAATAAAGGTAATTATCATGTCTAATATTGTTTCGGCAAAGTAATTGCATTCTCTGTCTTTCGATGGAAGGAAAACAAGACTAACTTGCAGTATTACCATTGAACAAATTACACATTACAGCAAAACAGAACCAACAAACCTACTGGCACTGGCAGTGCCTATTGTCCTTCCTAAAATGTTCTCCAAAAAACTTCAGATTAAAAAAAAAGTTATCCAAAAGACACCCTTTTCTAGACACTTAAAAACGACTTCCATGTCAATAACCTTCAATAATTGGTTTCAACCCCTATCATGTTCATACCCCCTCAAAAGTTAAGGGAGAAACTAAGAGGAAGAGGGGGGGATGTTTGATCTCAGTTATCTAAATGAACTGCAACAGATCACAAGGCAATTCACATTTCATGAAGAGATCCAAATTTCTACTTCCTGAAACAACAAGAGTCTGAAAAAAAGTGACTCTTCTCTGAAACAGACCCACGAATCCCTATATTTAACAATGTTGCTTATACCATTCAAATACTAACAAATCAAAAAGAACTTGGGACCCAAACTCTTGTATCTTGTAAACTAATAATGTATAGAAAATAAGAGAATGTGGCCCATTAGTGTCGTTTCTTACAGTTGCGAGGTTTGTGTAATATTGTTCAACCAAGGCATTTAGATAGTGCTCCGGTACTGCTTGATACAGAATACAGATGTAATGGCTGTGTAATGATATGCAGAGAATGCATTCAGAAATATAACATAGAACAGGCAGGTCTGGGATCACTCTCGTGACAAGCCAGAGTTCATCAAATAGAAAGTTCTAACTGCATTAATGTTTCAGCACAAGTAAATGGCTAACAGTTTGTCACTTTTGGAATAAATACCTGTTCTCTTTGAACTGTGAGCATGCAACCACGATATGCTAACGTTATAATTGTTTTTCTAACACCAGAACATAGCATTTCACATTAGCCTTATTAAGAAAAACCATAGCTTTTCCCATTAGGAGCAGAACAAGCTACCATAACTTTAGCGCAAAACAAAACAAAAAATCCTGAATGTGCAATAGCGTTTCAAGCACTGGGGTATAGCATTTGAATAGCAGCGGCATAATAGCCATTAACCATGTTAAACAGGCACTACAAACTACTAACGGTTCCAATGTCAGAAACCCTGCTCTAAATGCACCGAGTTAGATAATTACTGCAACAAGTATCAGGCAATGCTAGAACAAAATCATAACAAAAGTTGCTACACCAATGAACTAATAAGTAATAAGGTCCTGCTCTAACCAATTCTACATTCTTCTGCTACTCAAAAGAATAGTAAATACCAAGAGGAAGGGAAAGGGATATTCCAGCTCACAAAATATGCAAAATTAGCTTCACACATACAACGCCCAAGTATGCATTCTGCAATTCAATGCTGCAAAAGATTCACCCAAAAAAGGCAACTTTAGCATTCATGAGTTGGCATTCTCTTAGGCTTCTTATGATTCTTCTCTGATAAAGCCTGCGCAAAAGCCTCCACAATCCTCTGCTGCGATTCAAGTATCATCTGAGTTCTTTTCATTTCCATTTCCATTCTCATCTCTTCCAACTCTCTTGCCATGTCCATCTTCATCCTCTCCATTCTCACAAATCCATCCCCTAACATCTTTATTGCCGCCACCATCTCCCCCATCGGGTCCTCCTTTTTCTTCTCCCTCACTGGGCCCACTCCTTCACCAGCAACCCTTTTCCCCATATCAGCCTTCTTCACAAACCCATCCCCCCTAAACATCTTACCAGGCCCAAAATTACTAGGGTGTTCAACTCCAGAATCCTCCATTCTACTATATGGTTTCGCCATTGGCGCAGCTGCCACGGGCATCCCCGGTATCCGGATACGAAACCCACCCCCTCCATTACTCACAACCCCTTGAAAACTACTACTCCGATTATTATTAGTGTTCACATTGTTGTTACCATACAAATCTCCTATGAGTTTAACACTGTTTTGACGGTAATCTTCAACATCCTCATCAGCTTCTTCATCACTAGAAACAGCATTAGGACCCCTTTCCATTGCATCCATACGCTTGAAAAGGACCCAAGCAGAGCAATAACGGTGGGATCGAACGCCACCGTAAGGAGCAGCGCGTTGAATTTCAGTACGGTAACGTTTCCGAAGCTTCTCCATCTTGTGACGGCACTGCACGGCCGTCTTCGGCGGATCAACACCAGGGCATCTAGCAGCAACATCGTCAGCTACTTCCTGCCAGTGATTAGCCCGGAGATTTCCCCGGCTTAGAGAATACCACTTGTCTCTATAAGCATCAATTAGGGCTATCGTCTCGTCGTGGGACCAGCACGGCGGCGGAAGACGGCGCGATGAAACCGCCACCGTAACGTTGGCTGAGGGTAGTTCTGATGGGGAGTTTGAGAAATCTTGCGTTGATGAAGATAGAGTCGCCATTGTTGAGATCAATTAGAAATTTGTAATGATGTGGGTAATTATTTATGTGTTGAGATGTATTAGATGTTGGTGATGGGTGGTGGGAGGCGGAGGAGAGCGGAGGCATAATGAAAGAAAGGTGATAAGTTAGGTTAAAAGGGGGGTTGCGGCTGATGTGGAGATCTAGAAAGAGGGGGGAGAGGCCACCGCTAAAGGTGGGTGGGGGTGCGGGGGAGGCTAACGTGCGCGGAGGGCGTAATAATGTTGACCGGGTGCTGGCTTTGCTTTGTTGCGTTCGGCGCCCACCGCCCAAAAGGCGTCAGCTGGCAGAGGAGTTAAAAGCAATTGGTATGGGCCGTTTGGCGTTTCTTGTGGGCGGAGCTAGACTTGGCGACGATTCACTCTCCTCTTTAATATAGGTGATTAATTAGCTTCGATATTGTCGCGTGATCTCTTCGTTTTTTGTTAATCTCTTTTTTTTTCTCTTTAATATTGGCTTTGAGTTTAGTCTTTCAATTGCACGGCATTGAAGTTTCTAAGCCCCTTCGATTGCTTGAATGGGAGAATTGATCTTTCTCATTAAATTCTCCATAATTAAATACATTGTTTGATGGTTTGAATGAGACGAATGAAACAATAAAAGAAAAGAATAATATTGCAGAGAAAAGTAGGGAGAGAGAATTCTTATTGATATTGGGATGAATTACAATGTAATAGAACCCTCTATTTATAGGGAGAGAGTAACTTAGCCACCAAGTAACAAAACCCCAGAATCTCTCTAAATATAGACATTCACCATAAATAAAATTCTATTTATAACACTCCCCCTAAATGTCTATTCAACAGATAATGTGCCTCGTTAAAACCTTAACTAAAATAAAATCCAGTGGGCAAAAAAATTCTAGAGAATGAAAAAGAGTACACATATCTAACAATACGCCTTTTGGTTGCCTCATTAAAAGCCTTGCAAGGAAAACCCAGTGGGACAAAACCTTGTAAGGGAAAAAGAGTATAACGCGTATTAACTCCCCCTCATGAGAGCATCATTTCACATCCTTAAGCATTTGCATTCCAATCTTATGCACCATCTTCAAAAGGTCTTTGGTAGATATTTGATAAACAAATCAGCCATATTAACTTGAATGAATATATTGCACCTTGAAATCATCATTCTTGATAGAAATGAATTGTCTTCATATGATCTTGTTGGAATCGTCAGTTCAATATCTTCACATAGAGGTGAAAACTTTTGCTATCATATTATCATGCATATAGTTATAGCAAGATACATTTGTGCACAAATTGCATTGAGGATGTAGTACTTCATGACCATGAATTCTATATGCTTTAAGCAATTTAAATCCTTCAGGGATTGTTAAGTTATATAAGCCATATAATAGACTTTAGATGCATATCAAGTTTTCATGTCATGCTAGACATATAAGATATCGAAAACGGATTGCACATACCATTGACTTATACTTTCAAGTGTTTGAACTACATGTTCAAAACTACATGGCTTTCATATGAAACCAATTCTATTTGAATTGTTTCTTCAGACTTAAGATCCTCATATATATATTTAGTGCTATCATAGATGTCGTTGACAAACATTTTATATCGGTTTCAATATTTTTTCATAAAGACATAACATAGAGATCTCTTCATTCATATATTCAGGTACCTGAATCTCTCATGAGATTTTATGAAGTGTTATGTCATGTGATCTTCTAGATCACTTGCCTCCTTATTATGATCATTTGCTCATCTTCTTTATCAAGAAGTTTATTTGAAACCGATTTGTCTATACGCTTTAAGCGTACCATAGACTTTGTCCTTCTAGGACTTATTCTAATAGGAGCATTTGCAGTGAGATATAGTTACTTTCTTTGGGCCAGCAAATGCGTCTGGCATGCTTTTCAATATATTGCAAATGAATTATCCTTTTATGAACTTCAAGTTCATATTATCTTATTCGAGGATCTAGATGTACAAATGATAATTCATTCCACGTAACTTTTTCTCAATTGTTTATCATGTCTCCCCCTCATGTTAGAAAAACTAACTTGTTACCTCAACTTTGAGAATCCACCTTTGTGCGTTATGGTGTTAATCAAAATATACACCGTACATCAATAATAATAAGATGGAATTATTTGGTTCCTGACCCTGAACCACTTGTGAGGGGAAAAAATAATATACTTTGGTATATAACATATATCAAACTGATATGATAACTTTGTTCTCATAAGCAATTATTTAGCTATTAAGTAGAGGCACTTAATAAATCATTTTGCTAAACCAACTGTGATGTAAACCAACTTATCAAGATGAACTTCTTAAATAGAAAATCTGGAAATTATGCTCGAAATTAAATTATTGAGCAAGTTACCTCGTAAAACACCATATTGTGGGTTATTAATAATCGCACATGTAACCATCTCATAGATGCGTCTTATGTGGTATACATGGCAGGTGAATGGGCCAATATTCACCTTTGATATTTCCAGCATTCATGGGATTCAATCCCAATTTTAGTTGATATATTAATTAATGAGAACATGCAACATAAGAGAATTCGTAAAGAACTTTCTAGTTCTTTAATATTTACCCATGTGAATTCTCTTTTATTTTTGCACATCATACTTAAATTGATATGGGTAAACCAATTATGCCAACTGAATAAATTATCAATATTGATAAACTTCAGATTTACACCATGACGTGTGCAATTATCAAAAAACTCCAAGTTTACTATGATGTGGGTTTTTATATCAATAAACATCCACTTTATTGTGGTATTCTTTTATTTGTGTAGTACAAACTGGAGAATGAAGCGGGTAACTTTTCACATACATTGTCACGACCCAAATCCACTACGGGTCGTGATGGCGCCGGACACCGTTGTCAGGCAAGCCAACTAACTCATCCATTAATTTCTCTTTTAATAATTTTAAAAATCTAAGAGTTTTACTTCCATTTTTCATATACATACAACCTCTGTTTCAATTCAAATGAAGAGATAACTAATAATACGCAACCTTCAAAGAAAAACCATCCCAGAACCCGGTGTCACAAGAGCATGAGCAACTACTGATAAGGACAATAAAATACAAATGTCTGTCCGAAATACAATGGACAGAGAATAATTAAGTAAGGTACTGGAAGGGAACTACTCTAGCTGCGGTCGTCTCGACAATGCAGCTCACCAAGTCCCCAAATCATCCGNATGTGCCAACATACGATAGAACACGATTTTTAACATTAACGTTTTAACACTTCATCATATAAGAACTTTTCACTTAACTCACTTCAGGAGAAACATATCAATGCACGGGCGAATACTCATAATCGTAAAATATGCGACCATCCAAGTAGTGGTCTAAGCCACCGTAGCCCCTTCTGGAATCTGCTTCCACACAACAGGCCATAACAATAGAAGGCCTCTGAGTAACATCATTTGCGGCGGCTGACAAGCCTGATACGTGCCATCACCAATCACTTACATAACTCGATCACGCTGCAGAAACCGACTGCCAACACCAATATGCCAAATTCAACTATGGCCAATCAACTACCTTCTTCCAATTTATCCTTGATTGCCTTAAAGATATCACTGATTTCTTCCAGCACATAACATACTCCCTCTGCACTCATCCTGAGCGACCTCGAATCACGAGACCATGCTGTCTCAAATCCCATGAACTGACTCATATCTCTCAAATGCCATACCGCAAGCCAAAACATCACAGATCGTCCTGAGTCTCCATTCGTAAGCTGCTGCATAAGCTTGATTCTCAATTGCGCTTATAGGCTCGAAATCATCAAGTATTATACTTCATCTTTTGAATTTTCACTAGGACCGCTGCTGAGAGCCACCCGCTCTGACTTGGCCCCGAATATAATCAACTCCATAAATCTTATAACACATGAATACCCTCTCGACGAGGCACCCGGTGGAATCACTTCCTTGAAACCTGCATTTATACAAGGCATAAATCCTGAATCCTTCCCCAAGTCTGAACATGGGCCAATAAGGCCAGTCATAACATGTATTTCAACAATCCCTTTGCTCAATTCATCTCTTATGTTCTTTTCCCGTAGCTAGAATAACCCATCAACATACTAATAACCAGAAACCTTGCAAGCAATCAACTCTACAACCCTATCACAAGCGGTGGGACTCTCCCACTTAGCTTGAAGCCATAATTTCACCAATCTGGAACTCACTCATCCTTTTTATCCCTTATAGACATAACTTTGCACAATCAACCGCCAAAATTCTCGAGATCTCTCTGTAAAACCTCTTTCTTATACTCTAAATCATCCGCCACATTCGCACGATCGATTCCTTCGCTACATACCCGATAAGATTCTTCGTAGAAGCCTCGCCAACCACGCGACTGCTAATCTGCTCACTTGGCTAACCCACCTATAGAAGGCTCTCCCCGGCATCTTCCAACACTGCTGCATAGGGTACAATTACTACGACATCAATGACCCTTTCTGAGTCTGAGCTCACACTCCAGTTGCACCGGTCCATTTTACCCCCTTGTGGACATCATTGAAATGTGCGACAACATCCTCCCAATTCAAAGCCATGCTGCATTCTTCTTCATTTAAGCGGCTCCTTCCCGTTATATTAAACCTCCGGCCGCACAAGAACCCTACTTCAAATTGAACCCGTAGACCCCAATCACCAATCATTGATATTATCAAATCACTCCAATTCTCCTTAAGGTACGTGGTCCTTCCACTGCAAGCCCATATGCATCTCCGCCACTCTCCCACTTTGGCGGAACTCATCCCCTTAATCGACTACTCAACCTTTGCTTCATATACCTAGCCTTTCTTGCAATTTGAAACTCCGCATGACACTTCCCACATGCCTTTCTCATCTTTTGCTGCTCAGTTGCTGCCTTAATAAGAATTTATCTTCATGGGACTTGAATTCTCAATTTGCTACTAGCTCCAAACCTATCCGAAGGTCATCTTTCTCGAACCATTAACAATAGAAATACAAATTAAATCCCGAACCACCGCATCCTGCGATATCTGATAGTTGTATCTCTGATACTATTTCACAATATCTTGCCTCAAAGGCGAATCGTAGGAGATCATAACACCGACAAACTTGATATGTCCAATTAGGACAACAGCACCCCAATATAAAAAAAAATCCACCTCGCTTTCAATTGCCAAGTCTTATTACTTCCACCAGTCTACATCCCGACCCTCCTTAGCTCGATTACCTTTCCCCCTGCCAGGAATAACACACTGAATCTCTTGATTGTGCGCTGAGTAAACCTCCCTTGAAATCCTTCACTGCCCTGACACGTGGGCAATACCCTACCATCATATTACTACTGCAGAATAGACATTCATAAGCATTGCGGCAACTTGTGCCTAGCCTCAGAGCCCTCGAAAATACCGCTACTGGGCGGAAGCAACAAAATATTCTTCCATAAGGCGA